AAAACCTGTTACCATGATCAGTCTATATTCGGACTATAAGTCTTTTTTTTTATTTATCTTTGAAATCTCTGTCGATTATTTCGTAAAGTGTCGTGAAAAGTTTCAGTAAATCATGTTTTGACTTCCCTTGATGCAAACTTTTCTCGCGAACAAGGGTTTATTTGACTCTCTACAACAATGAGGAAACACATTTTGTAAGTTTGGCTTTAACGATTTTCTAATTTAGCGTGTCATTCTTTTACCTATCCTGAAAATAAAGGAGAATTACCTGGAATAAATTTGGAATTTTTTTGTCAATATAAGTTTAGTTTTCTGGACTTGAAATACTAGGTCAATCTTATTTTTGAGAGCCTTTTTTCCGACAGTGTTCACTAGATCTTACGTGGGATTTTTGACAGTATGTTTCATTGCTCTATCGAGTCCAGTTCGAGTTGACAAGAGTTGAGCTAAAACATTTGATGGGTTTTGAAAACACTTGTCAATGCAATCAATCGAGATTTAGATTGTAGGTCCATTTGTATTTCAAAGTTTTCATTTTTTGGTGGCCTGTTAATCTTACTGCAGTCACTTGTAATCGGTTGTTCTCAGGGTCGCTGTAAACCATTATTAACTGAAACAAAATATTTTATTATCATCTTTAGCGATATCTCTCATTACATTTTGTGTCAGCGTCGTCGGATTAAAAAATTTTCTGGAAAAATTTGTTTTGCTGAATCATAAAGGTAAAGCGTTCATCCCATAGTTTCAAAGAACAAAATCGTTTGCTTTAGAAGAAAGGAGGGCTTTCCATTGTGTGAAATATAACGAATTAGGAAAATTTATTACATGACTCAAGCACAAATTTGCTTTGTTTGGTTTGTTTGCCTTGTTTTTTTTTATAATTCAAGAGTCTGGTCATCCGCAAAAGGAAAATGAGGAGATGAAAAGCACTCAGCTCGGTTTCATCTTTAATCCGCCTCTTTTTGGTACAGTGCTGTGATTGTTCGCAGTTCCATGTTCATGGTTTCATTTTTCAATTGTAAAAGATTTCTTAGCTGTGAAATACGTGTGACGATGGGCTTACCGAGGGGAATTCGATCAATCTTGAATTATTTGCCAAACTAATGTGTTAACAACGAACCTGGAAACAACAACGTACCTCTAATGGCAGATCGAAACTAACCATTTTATGGCTGATAAAGCCTTATTGAGTCTTAGTTTCACGTGATCCGCCATTGAAATGAATTTTTTTGTTTAATGGCTCTATCGGATTCCATCCGAAGGAGTTAAACTACTTCCCCTCGAACATCTTCTTCAGAAACATTAAATTCACAACTTAACTTTAACTTCACTTTAACCCCCAACAACGTAGGTTAAACCACCGTAGAAACAACAGAGTGTGTCTATTGGCACGGCAAGCTTCTAGTATCAGTAACGCTAGAACTTGGAAATTTACTAGAATTTACTAAAAACGCCCAAGAATCCATCATTAGCAAGATAAATAGATCTATAGGCTGAGTTAAATTCTTCCTTAAAAAAGGTACTACATGTACGCTGATTCATAGCGTTGATTTCATTTTACTGCTCAGAAGGTTTTTTCCATAAGTTTATGATTCATTTTTGTTTCATTACCCACTTTGCACTAAGATGATTTGATCTCTTGGTGTTTCGCAAGTAGGACTATGACGAGTTTCCTTTGCGCCAGTCACAACGTTTAATCATGGTACGTGGATCAATGTTGATACTGCAAAAAGCGGAATTAAATCATGGCTGTAAATTGGCTAAAAATTTTTCAAGATAAAGATTGTTTTGATAATGGTTTGCTTAATTTCGCCTCTTACCGATTTCTAGTATCCTCGCGGTCCAGATTTGTCGATAACTGAAGACGAACTCTTTGCCAAGCTTACGAGTGGGCTTAAAGTGACCAGGAGTACGAAAATATTACTTAAATTGTTTAAAAAATAGCTTTTACACATAAGTTATCAGCTTCAACGACCAGAAAGAATTAAAAGCTTTAATGGTTGTGAGGTTACAAGGTATTTACACTAAGATTAGGTTTACATCTAGTCATTTATGTATATCGCATGCAGTTCACAGTTAGAGGGCTAACCAGGAGAGATTGGGAGAGCGTGGTTGTAAAAACTGAACTGTGAGGTGCATGTAATCATAACTCGCAGTCTCTGAGATTTTTTGAAACAATTACTGCGATCTTAAAACAAGGACTTGTTGAAGCAAAAAAGTCAAATAATCTATTCCTAAACTTGTTGCATAATGAATGATTCGATACGTTTTTGGTAAATATATGTTATTTTCGGGCTGCGAGGTCTGTATAGGGTAAAACTAGGACCAGAGTCTTTAAATACGGGCGTATTTTCAGGACTAAAATTTCAGCCGAAATTTCCTGCGACTGGCATAATAAGTTTTTCACTGCATTATTAACTTCATTGTTTTTCTTAGTCTTTTACAATATACCAAACAGCAATGATGCAATACTCTCTAAAACAGCAGCAAAACTGGTTCATATTGTCCAAAGAGCACAAGGCAATTGGGATAATGTTTTATGGAAGACAGAAGTTAGTGAGTTACTGTAAGTTATAGTGAGGCCTGACGATTTTTCTCAGAATTATTCTCAGGATAATTCTAAGGAATTTTTCTCAGGAATTCTCAATTTTATTTCATTTTTTTCATTTGGTACTTGGTAATGCTCGCGGAAACGCTTCAACTTGAATTATCGAGTCGCGATTATGAAACAGAAAAAGGGGAAGCAGCGTAATGAAAAGTGTTTGTTCGGTTAAGACTTAGGTTCTGGGAAGAAAACTTGAGCCCATGAAAAACTGGGCTCTGTTCGGTATTTTCTAGAGTTTTCTTCATCATTTATTCATTTCGAACAAAAAGCAACAAATTACAATACAAACTGTACTTACAACTGTTGAATTAAAGTAGTTTGGAATTTGCCTGGCTTTTGGTCGTGAGAAGTGGTTCCAATGAGCAAGTCATTGAAGATATCGTAGTCAGAATATTGAAACTCCGAGATATAAAAAAAATATTCTGACCTTGGATGAGCCGTTGAGCAATGACGGATAAGAAATGATTCGTGTTATGTGCCATCCTCACTATCCTACAATTGCTCTTTATCGTTGTGACTGTAATCATAGACTACGTCAACATCTATTACAATTACGTCAAGGTCATTGTCACTGACGTGTGTGATAAACTCTTAAGCTTCACTGTACCTTTCACCGTGATTATGATTGTTCTCCTCACTGTCGACGACGTCACCATTTCTATTTTTTCTTTATTATTTTTTCATCTAGTCGAACAAACAGCACAAGATTACATTTCAAACCGTACTTACAATTGTTGAACTAAAGTAGTTAAGAATTTGTCTGACTTTTGGTCCGGTGAAGTGTTTTCAATGAGATATCGAAATCAGAATAATGAAACTTCAAGGTATTTAAAAAAAGTTCTGACCTTGGATGAGTCGTTGAGCAATAATAATTACGTCAAGGTCATTGTCACTGACGTAGGGTAATAAACTCTTAAGCTTCACTGTACCTTTCACCGAGATTATGATTATTCTTCTCTCTGTCGACGACGTCACCATTTCTATGGTTATGTTGCTATTGAGCTAATTGCATTTAGTGCGACCGTCGCTCCTGAATAGTTAGCCGTTAAAACTACACCACCAGTGATGCACCGTCGCTGTTGCTGAAAACAACGTTAACCTTTTCGCCTTTATCGATTACTTATGTTACGTTCTTTACGTAACTATATTCAGCAAACCAAGAGCACCCATCATCTAACGCGTAACAAAAAGTCTACAATGATTCGATGCCTGCCAGTTTTCAAGAAGAAGAAGAAAAACAGTTCGCGATCACTTGAAGATGAAGCGTTTGGTAATACTCAAGGTGTTAAAGTTCTTGGAGCTGACGATGAAATGAAAAAAGAAAACCCAAAATCATCCAATGTAACTCAAATCTTTCATTTTCAAAGTAGTAACCTACAAAAATTGATGGAAAAGCACAAAAAAGTTCAGAGACATGGCACAGGGACCTTGGTGTTATTTCCTTTCATAGTGGTCCTTGGCGAGCAAAAAACGCACTGGAAATGTTCACCATCGTTCCTAGCGGTTGACACCTCAGCTTGTGGTTAAAATTTCTTAGTATCGCAAGAAGAATCAAACGACATTCGTTAACAAGACTCCTGCCATCGCGAAATTTGAATATGCTGTTCCTTAAAACATTGGTCAGAAAATTTGTTCGACAGACTGTTTCTACGGTTTTTAAATTTGTCTCTGAGAAGTGAGCGAGCCAAGATGGCATATGATATTTTTGTTTAGCACCCCATTATCAACTTTCTTTTATAGTTTTTTTATCAATTTATTATTCACTATCGATCGGTTTGGCTTTGAGTGCTTAATTATATTACCTGTGAGCAGTCTCCACGCACGGTTCAATTTCATGTTCTCGGTATGTTTTCGTCTGAAATTTTTACATTGTCTCAAACCAAATAAAGATAGACAAGGGGACCAAGTGTCAGTCATTTTAGCTGATTCTCTTAATTATCATAGAGCTGAGGTTTCATCTCAAAAAAATTTAAACGTAATGCTTTGTAACACGTTGCTCTAAATTGATGAATTAATGAAATTAAAATATGATTTAAGCTCGAACATTGTTGCATCATTTCGAGGTTCCCACAGACTTTCTTTTCTCTTTTTTTATGTAAAAATGAACAGAAAACTGACGTGCACGAATAACAAGGAAGCGTTCTGTCGAAGGTGAAGAGAAAGTACCATGCAATGAGAACTTGTGGACGAGTGTTGAATTTGACAAGCAAACAAATTTTAGCGAGAGCTACAGCCAAACATGCTATGCAGCTCTTTATTTGAGTTGTAATGCATTCTTTCTCTACTTCCATCATGGCTGAGGTAAAGATAGGTGGATGAAGATGGATCGGGGAAGATTGGTCCTGATTATTGTGGACTGGATTTGATCAGGGCGGATTGACAAGGATAAGAGTGAACTGAGGTGAATCGGGACGCGGTGACCGGCACAGCTGTTCTAGAATTCACCATTAATAGCTGTCTGTACATAAAAAGGAGTTTGGTTCCAAAGTTTTTTTAATGATCTCTCGTTATCATTTCGATGTCTTATTGCCAAGGCAACAATGTCCTATTCCTTAAGAAAGACTATTAATCATAAACATAATTGGGAGTTTATTTTTTCAAGCATCGCGGAGACACGTATATGCCAAATAGGAGGACAATTCATCACGAGTCTCTCACTAATCACACTAATCAGGGGTAGTAACCTATCTACTTTATTTGTAACAGTCTGTTCTCATCAATGATCCCTTCTTTTGATTCTTTTAAAGTGGTTTATTGTTCTCAGGTCGTCGACATTCCTCTTCCCCTGGGAACAAATTTACTTCGGCCGTTGGTGGTGTCTTAAGGAGCTCCTCTAGTCCGCGCACACTCATTTCTGTTTGGAGAACCCTCGATTTTTTGTTTTAATTGTTGCTCATCACTGCAAAAGATTCTGCTCTTTTCGCCCCACCCGGTACCTGCCACATACAGCAACCAGCTGTCCAAATAGAACGAGGAGTTACAAGCGTTATTGTACCTTGCACAAACGCATCCCTCTGATAAGGCTTGGGAATTTGATTTGTAAGATCCTGAACAGGTTTCTCCTCGGGACTAATGAGTAGGCCATTTTCTGATCTGCCTGTCAAAAGGTAGAGGGTTCCATCTTTCTTGCCACAATCGTCCTTAGCATAATTTTCCACTTTTGACTCAAAATTCGTCAAAAAGAAGTTCGACGCTGCAAACTGAGGTACGCCATTGGTAAAAGTATAGGTGGCGGCCATGAATTTTTTGTCAAAGGAATTTATCGCTGAGGGATTCAAATGACCTTTGGTTAATGCTTGGTTTGGACTTCTCGGTTGTGTGGTGTCTGCGATTGCTTCTTTGTAGGCAATGCTAACACCAGGAACGCCTGTGAACACAGATGATTTTGAACGATAAACAAAAAGATTCTGATAAGATGTGTATTGTACACCGGTCTTTTAAACCAGCATCTGCTCCTCTTGTATAACCGTGGGAATATGTATTCTAGTTTGGTGTTTCGTCAAGCAGGAGATATACTGGTGATCACACACTTGTTTGCCCCACAGACCAAACATAGTTAGCCACTCGGTAATGCATAGTTCTCATTTTCGCGCTACATAGCATTTTCGTTATATCATTGGTGCTTGATTGCTTAACTTTACCTGCTGGAAAAGCAGAGGGTGTATACCAGCTCTGCAAAGAGTGTTAGTTTAGAGAGGAGGGGAGAAGGGTTACTGCGTGGTAAGGGGTGAGTGTTTGTAACTTTAATGACCAGTCAAAGTGCGAAATTAAAACCGCTTGAACTGTGAACTTTTTTTTTGTGTGCGATGCTGGGAACTTAAAGTTGTTTACACTATTTTTCGTGACGCGTTATTTCTACTTTCTAATTAATTCTATCCACCTCTTTGGCAGATCGTAAACTGATCGAAAACTGAATTAAATGATTTGGAATCAAGGAATACTCGACTTTGAGTGATAAAATTATGTAGTCTTTTCAGCATGCTATATTGTTTGTAACTTGTTGAAAAAATAAGGCTTAAAAAAGGGCATCAAAATACATTCTGACATGTACGCTCACGATAAGGTCCCCATACGACAACGTGAAGGTAGATCTTGCATAATCTGTGGTAGTTATTAGACATTAATTGCAGATTGATTCAGTCCACATAATAAAACTTATTCGGGCAAGGGACTTTTGGAAGGAAGAAAGGCCGGGTGGAATATGTTAGTTGGTTCGATGATGATGTACTGCTGTTCCACATTCAATATTTAGTGGATGTTCGATGGCGAACAGGTTTTACTATGTAGACTGAATCTGCAATTAATGTTTAATGACTATATCTCCAAACCTGGGGGGTCCCTCCACTTTATTCCACCCAGCCTTCTTTCCTTTCCAATGTCCTTCGACTGAACAGGTGTAACTTTGTAAGCTGAATAAAACGGTGTATTGGTGCTTGGATCAAAGAGAGAAAAAAAATAAGGTGGAGTGTCTGGAGGATCATTAGGCAGCGTCTGCTGGATTTCGATCCCTTGAGAAGTACCAGGTAGCCCTTTTGGAGGACTACCACCAGCAAAGAATGACGGTTGAACACTTCTTTTCTCTGGAGGGGAAGTCACAGATCCTTTTTAAAGCAGATATTGGTAAAATCAGACGAGGAACAAAGTTTTAAATACATCTGAATAAATCGGATTTATTTCAGAAACTGATGTAAGATTGATTTCAATTGATATAAGGAGTTGATGGAAAAACCTTTATAAATGTGTATCAGTGGAGTCAACGGCTGAACTTGCCGTGTACTCAAGTTTTCTGAACTCAATTTAACACTGCAGAGCTCAGATGATAATGCATCAAACGATGCAAGTATTATACCTGTTGAAGTCTTATACCCCAATAACACTAGCAAAAAATGTTTATAGTTAAACCGGGTTTAACTGAATAAAAATCAGAAACAGAGAACTGAGAAACTGAATTCAGGTTTAAAGTTGTCAAACATAGATTTCAATCAAACAAACATCGATTTTTAAGCATGCAACTTTTATGAGGAAAACAATTTTAGACCATATTAACAAAACAGCTTTAAAACCTGTTTAAACTTTGGTCTGAAAGCGGGGGCATTAGTTTGATCATGGTTTGATCCCAAGAATATAAAGCTGAGGATCAGTATGGTGACCACAGCGTATTTTATTGTGTTTCAAAAAATTCATGGTATGATTTATAGGTAAGAACAATTGCGACTGTGTTGTCGAAATTCCATAATATATTCCTTTCATTACTTGGCACTTACCAGAGGTACTTTTCGAAAGTATAGTCTTAAACTGTACAAGGATAGAAAAAACAAAACACCAAAAGGATGTTGTCTTCATTTTGTCCGGTCTTTCTGGCTAATAAGTTAATAAACATAAAAAAAGTGAATTACTCAGAGTATATTGATTAGTACCCTTCAAACCCATCATGTATTTCTCTTTACGCCCGATCGGCTAGAGTTGGTCTCGTACACTGTATTACAGAGCAGGATACTCTTCAAACCCATCCGGTATTTGTGTTCACTCCCGATTGGCTAGAACAGGTCACGTTCAACGTAGGACATAATATAATAATCTTCAAATCCATTAGGTATTAAAACCCTTGTAATTGGACAGGCCAAATAGGACAGTTAAGCCGCCAATAAAATATTGCAAGGAAGTTTGAGCCATCAACCAGTACTCATTTACCAAGCCGATGCCTGCCAATTAAAATGAGGAAGACTTTTCAAGTGATCATTTGATATTTTGAGCAATATTCGGACATAAAAAAATTTTGGCTAAACATTTATCAATGAGAAGTTTATGTGCTCTTACATAAAATTTTTGCACTCCCGAGTTTCTAATATATTTCTGACACTGTTAACTGATAATCAGACTTCTTTTCGTACAATTTAAGCAGGGTTTCCCTATCTAACCATTTAAAAATAGATTCGCCTTGCTGACTTCTCGGAATAATCTCAGTTACCGCGCTATATTAAAAGGCTTACACAACTTGGTAAGCCCGACTCGACCTAGGAGTTTCTCGGTCAACGAAATGGAGACGGATTTGAATAAGGTAAACAAAGTTGTCCCTGATATCGTTGTTGCTATCTTGGAAGAAATATCAGCCCCAGAAGTCAAAAAGCTTCTTGTAAAAACTGAAAATGGCCCCTGTTTTGACGTAGGAAGCATAATTGGATTTTAATTCAGCGAGAGAAAGTTTCAATTTGGAATGAAGCAGGAGAACTGTCCGAATCGGGTGAGTTGCTCTTTATATTTGGTTGTGTTGTATGTAATTGCACAAGCAAAATTTACCTGGTTTGTTGTCATGAGAAGGTCAGAAAAGGCCAGTATTTTATGAATAAAAGAGCTGCATTCTGCAGAATAGCTCTCTTACAGCCTGGGAGTTATCTAAATTTTCCCTCCAGCCCTACTCGTGTTTTTGTGAGCCATGAGTAATGAACTTTTAAAAGTACATCTATTTTAATTACATGGTTACACTAAATGCGTGCTAACTGAAACTTCTGTAAATTTACCAACGTTTTAAAATTCTATATAATAAAAATGTATGCAAGCCACAAGTTCATGAAAAAAGTTTTAGAGCTTAGTGATTCTCCTTATCCTTGCACATCCTTCTAAGAGGTATTTATTAAGTGCTTACATTTTAAATGTCGTAATAACACTGATATTTTCTTCTGATGGAATTCTCACTTTACTTGGTACTTAGACACAAATTAATTTCCTATGGAGAACTTGAAGGGCAGTTATTTCATTTGAATTATAAATGCAGAATGGCTTCTCTTTGCAGTTACACCGTGGATAAACTGATATGGAAAGCTTCTGCAGCTCAGTTAAAAAAGGACTAAAGTTGTATTGTAAAATTGAAAATTAACATTCTGTCCTTTATTGTCAGATTTTCTTTTCATTCAATAGGGTTTTTTTTAATACTCCATACACTCCCTTTTAATGTCACTGTTACATGATAATTTTGTGGTTTTATTGAAAGGAACACGTTGAAACATGGCAATAGTACAATCTGAATAGACGGTCTTCTATACTTCCTTGCCAAATTCACTTAAAAACATGTGGACTTTCTACCCATCACAGATTATATCCCAAGTTCTTTCGAGTTAATGCAAAATTCGAGATGATCATGTTTAACACACACACACTAGAAAAAAAACAAATTCACTAATTTATATATACATTTTTTTGCTAGTCTTAACCAGTCTTATGCAATGAAAGAGGAATTGATTTCTTCTCTAGAACCACTTTTGGTCTGTTTTATGATGTTTGCCAATCCGTATGAATTCCACGTACATTCAAAACCCTGATCAAAACTTAACCAAAGCAAAATGGTACCTCAATCACAATTAATTCAGCTCTTCATTCAAAGGTCATGTTTAAAGAAAAGAAATTCATTCTTATGGACACAAAAAAGATCTCATCATCTTTAATCACAAATAAAGAGAAATGAACTCACAATTTATAAGAAAAAACAAAACAAAAACCAAACAAAATTGAGTAAAAAGGGAACCTCCGAATACTTAAAACACCAAACTGAGATGTATCTTTACTGTCTTGTAGAATAATGTTCCCATCCAGAAAATCTACCAGACAGTACTCTCACAATAAGCAAGTGCATAAACTGCTGTTATTTAATTGATCACTGCAGGGGAAAATACAAAGCAAAACAAAACTCTGGTATCCCAGGTAATCTACTTTTTTGTCATCATTTCTTTATTCAACACTGTATGCATATTGAAGTGTCAGGGGCTGTGTGGAAAAACTACTGAAAATGTGAAGTATAAAAACCTTAATATACAATTTAAAAGGGATTTTCTTGACAGTTAGATACAAAAGCATGCATAGTGGGAAGAAGCAACATTAATCACTTGAACTTGAATCACAAACATTCACCAAATGTTAATTAAAGGTTCAGTGAAGGAAATAGAAATTAAAGGAACTAATTTTATGTCTTTACATGTAAGTTATCATACTAATAGTGCTGTAATTGACAATAATTTTGACGAAGAATTTGTAGGATTTACTACATAGTTACTCTGTACCTTTGATTTGGGTTGAAGGTTACCCAGTGCCCATAATTTAGGTACGTACTCGCTTTGTACTTTTAATATGGGTTTGGAATCATCTGCTTACCTTCATTGGGATGCTTGATCATCGCGTCCTCATAGTGTGATTACATGATCAACCACATTAGCCACAATGTGAGTACATGCTCACCCACCTCCCTTTATTTGGTTACATGATCCATATGTTCCTATAATTTGGATACATATTCACCCCAAATCATGATTTGTGTGCATGCCCAACTGCTGGGTACAGTGCATGATAATCTTGTAGCCTTGACCCATTAACTCCCAGAGGTGATTTGCATGTTACTTTCCTTTGTGATATCCATACATTATCCAACAAACAAATCACCTAACAGGATTTGCAAGGTAGTAGAAACATAATTTTGCCAGCATTGAAGTAGCATGTCGTGACGATAGCGAAACGGACCGAGTTGACGCCTTGGCTTAAACAATCCACCAAGCTAAGAAAATTTATGGCACAAAAATAATGGCACTCTCGGTCCGTATTCTGATTCTTACACGAAATTTTAAATACTTTTGCTTTCGAAACGAGGAAGGCAATCTTTTAGCTCTATAACTTGAATCGAAATATGATTTAGAGATTTGGAGACTTCATTTGGAGAGTTTCATTCTTTAGGTAAAGTTCAGATCCCTGGTGCTGCTGTTGATAACAACGTCAATATGCCTTGGTTAAACTGAGGATGAATGATCCTCGCTACTGGTCTGATCTGCTACTGTGTGGTTATCCATAGTGCCACAAGCTTATGACCTACAAGCGTCTAAACTCCCCTATATTGCCAAACACAAGCTGGGGTTCATCATCATAAAAACTCACAACTGATTACAAAGAGGCATTGAAAAGCTTAAAAAATGAAAGATTCAACTATAATCTTTACAACGGGATGCACCGGATAAGTTATGGTAATTGATTTCCCTTGAGGGAGTTTGGGATAACATTTTCTGAACAAAATTTTGAGTTCAACTCCGCATTTAAGTATAGCGGCCGGTGATAGCGCGGCGGATGCGAATAAATCAACAGGATTGTTTTGACGGTGTTAAATTCCTGATGGAAGGGACTTCCACAAGTAAACTTAACTACAGTGAAAATAAGCTTCTGAGTTTTTCCGAGGCGAAAGGATATTTCAACATTTCAATCCTTGTGCTTTCAAGACGGCAAGAAGGTGAATAACCTGGCATGCAGAAACAAGTCGCGCTTACCAAGTAATCGTGTGCTTTCAGAAAACTATGCCCAGTAGATTCAGTGCGCTTGAATCGTTGTTTACTAGAACTCACGGTCAGAAAATTGCGTGCATTTGTGTTGAAAATTTCTTAAATTCTGAAATTGTACGGTTTGAAAATTAAAAATTCTGTTGAAAAATACTTGTGGGAAATAACACTTAAAAATAGTATCAACTGTTCGAAAAAATTACAATTTTTTTTGCATTTATGAGTCCCGTGTGGTAGATTTACACTGCTTGAATTGTTGCTCATTAGAATTTACGACCAGAAAATTGCGTAGATTTTTAGGCTTTTAAATATTTAGGGCGTCTGCAACGCGAGCAGTTGAAACTGAATTTTCCCGTGAGGTAGATAGTGTAAAACGCTTGAAATGTTAACTTTACGGTGCGCATCCATTTATAAATAAAAGTTTGGCGGGCTTTCTATACTATGGTCGAGTTTGCGGTCTGAAAACTGCAATTTCATAATGTATTCCTTATTAGTACCGTAGTAAAGTTTCACTTATTACGCTTTCAGAAAACGTTAAAGATACACAATCCTATGTTAAGAAGTAAATTCTATTTGGCTCGCTCACGCATTAACAAATCCCAGTTCTTAGTCAAACATAATCGCTTCGGGGTTATAAGTGTCTGATGATGCTTTTATAGCAATTTCCTCCCCAAAATAAAGTTTGATAGCGACAATCTTAAATTTCCGAAATTCTTCAATGATTGCGCCGTGTTCCGTCCTGTAATTTACTGAAGTCTAAAATACCATACCGACGTGCAAAGAATTAGAGGATATGTTTATTTGACACCTTCGGCTTCAGATATGATTATCCTAGGACCATAAATTTACAAGAATTATCTAAGATCGCCTAAGAATTTATTATGAAAGTGATAATTTGGTTTCATCAATTCTGTTGATTGTGTGAATTCGCCACCGTAAAGAGATTCTAAAGCTGACGAAAAAAACCTTTGTTCTCAACGCTTTACCTTTAAAATGTCTCTACGGTGTCCAATTCACGTCATCAACGTAGGTTATAAAAACAAATTTATTTGTAATACCTACCACCGACACAGCGCCCCATTTTGTTTAGGAACTTCTCCTATTTATTAAAATTACATTTTGATTATAGAGTAGATTTATTGAAGCAAAAATGGGCACTAATGTGTAATTTAGGTCCTTATACCCTAATTAAAATGCGTGATGGTAAATAGAATCTCTTTTTAAAAGAATGCAAAATACATTTTATAAAAAAATTTAATATTACAACCCGTATTTAACTTAAATTCGTCCAGATCATACTAAAAAGTGTTGTATAAATTCGTGTCAATAAAAGTAGTGGTCTCTTACCAGGTTTTAGAATCAGCGGCTATTTCTCAAGTCCAACTTGTTGAGAAATGAAGCTGAGGCACAGAATTACCAGAGTGAAGGAAAATTCGTTCTTGACTGTTGAAAAATTAGCTATTACAAGTAGTAGCAGGTTCAACCAGCATTGGTTAAAAGGCTTTTCTTTGAAACGAAGAAAAGCGTGACCACTTTGATCTGATTCTGATTGGTCAATTGTGCACAAACCAATCACAAGAACAAGCGAGGCACCTGAATTACTTTAAACACAATATTATTCTCCTATTCACTTCTTTTTCGAGTTCGACCTTATTGAAAGTTCATCGAAGGAAATCAGACAGTCGAGATTCATAAAGTTTCTTTCGTTTTAAAAACAACATTTCTTGTTAAAACTGTAATCATGGATGAACCTCTCTAAGATATTTTGTAATCTGACACAAGACCTATTAGAGCACAAAACTAAGGGGGTTGTTAGCCTAGCATGTTGCTCCATGAATTACTAAAATCGGGTGTCAGAATAGATTGTACTCTGTACTTAAGAAATGACTCAAGTCCTCAAAGCAACCTTGAGAGAAATTTAAAAGGACATTCTGAGTTAGATGATAATAATCACGGCAATATTTTGCGTCAGGCTTATTTGAAGATTTACTTCGTATAATTTAAAATTCTGTGGAAAATATGGACGCATATTCTCACGAGGAATAGTCCATCTCATAACATCAAGAAAGAAGGAAAGCATTTTTAATTTAACAACAAAGAAAATATAGAATAAGAAAGATGGCAAGTTTTGAGCTCGGTAAAGAAATGGAGAAAAATTGGTTTTCGTCTTGTCACGAGCGCGGGACAAAGGAATTCTGAGTCTCTTTGAGGAATCACACATCAGACCTGCGGATTCCGCGCTTTTATGTTACACTATTGAGCCACAGGAGCTCCGTGGTGAGCAAGGCCCCTTATGATGGATGCAGTGTGCGGGACGCGTGTCATATATGAACTTCGTAGTGGGCCTTGCTTACTGCTTACTAGAGAGTCTCTGTGGAAGAGCATCGGAGCGGAGAACCCGAAAGTCTGAGGTTCGATTCCTCACTCGCTCCACGCTCGTGACAAGACGAAGAAACATCTTTTTCAAAGAAAAAATATATTCGTCTTCGATTTCCAACCCCACAAGTGAGCAACAAATACGTCTTTAAAATGACATACTTAGAAATGCTTTCCTGGTAGAAATTTTGTCTTTATATGATACTAAGCCATTCCGCTTATGACAAGGATTCAGTTGTTGTGGCAGTCCTTTAGTCATGGTCGAGTAGCATCATGATACACAGCCAGAGGTTATCTGGGAGTATTCAACAGATAAGTTTGAGGAAATATCACAGTAAGGGAAAATTATTTGAAAAGGTGTTACTCATAAACTACCCAATCCAGCCTGCGTTTGTCTTCTTGAAGTGGCGTCTCTCGTATTTACGGCTCTCGCATCATCCACTTTAGAACCGCTTGTGGCGTAGGCTAACAACCAATAACGTTTTGTGTTGTAATTTACTTCTATCTCCTCCACTTATCATTAATTATATTGGTTTTACAAGTCGGAGTATCAAGTTACTCCGCCTGCTTAGAAGCTTCAAACTGAGAAAATTATTGCAGAAATGAATGAATAGCCTACAAGAACATTGTCTCACATCAATCTTTCATAGACTTTTGGTGGGTTTTGAAAACAATTGTCACCATCATAAATACAGATTTAGAATCGAGGTCAATCTTAATTTATTTCTTTTTTATTATTTGGTGGCCCTTGAACTTTACTGCAGTAGGGTTGCTGAAAACCATTGTTGACTGGAACAAAAGATATTGTCATCATCTTTTAGCGATACCTCTCTTTTTGTGTCGACGTCGTCGGATCAAAGCATTCTTCAGGAAAACTTCATTTAGCTTAATCATAAGAGAAAGGAACCAAATTGCCCGCTTAAAAAAAAAAATGGCCTTTCTCAGGCTTTCCACTCTTTACCAGTTAAAAAATTACTGAGTCCGATTTCTTTTTTCACAAGAATTTTGTAATATAGACGTCATCACAATATGCAAATTTGACTCCAAGATAATCAGATCTGATGGCGAGGAAGATAATCTAGCTTTTAATGATGTTGTATTCACAATAGAAGAAAAAGGGCCATCAGCTCTCCAGAAAAACACACAATCCCGATATTTGGAACTTTCACTGCGCTTATTTCTATCCAACTATAATTGTTGTAAACAATTATAGTTGTAAAGGCAAAGATTATCTTCTTACTAAACCGCTCTCTCTGGGGAGATTATTAGATTTAGCCTGAGAAATTTGAAACGCTGATTTGTTGTTTTTTATTTTTAATTCTGTTGTCACCAAGCATAGCTACATAATGCGAGTAACTGAAATAGGACCATGTTCTCTTGGTCGAACGAATTTTTCCATTGCTAAAGATATGTTGGGCAAAATATGAGTGAGACAAAACAAGAATGAGTATTCCAATAAATGTACAAACTATTGGTAATATGCATAATGAGAAACTGATTGAACACTTTTTGTGATCTTAGAGGGCATACGGGTTATTGCTTGTATAGTCTAATATTGATTATTTCACTTTCAACTTGTTCTGAGCATATTTAGTATTTCCTGGGAACATATTGAGTAACATTAGCTTTTTGCAAACCTTCAGAATCGAGAAAACATCCACATTAACTAAGGTGATGGCTTTAAATTTGCGTCGGTTATTTTATACGACTCTTTCATTTGATGGTCTCTTACAAAAGTCTTAACGCAAAGTCAAAACGCGTTAGTAACGCAAAGCCAAACGTCGTTTTAAGTTCTAGTGAAGTTTCAAAGTGTTATAAATGGCTGGATTTTGGGCGAGTTCTTTTTTTGCATTTGAATGAATAAAAGAACGAGACTTAAATCTAACCATCTAGGCCAAACAATTTTGTTTAAAGTAAGATTTATTTTAGATCGGTTTTTCGGTTTTTGTGTCAAGAAACTTCGGTTTTTCGGTTTTGGTGTTCATTACGGTTTGCGAATTTTCCGTTTTTTAGCATTTGGTTTTCGGTTTTCGCAAAAACTCCAACGGGTTTTCGGATTTGATATGCGATGCGGTTTTTGGTTTTTCCAATTAGATCTATTTGGGTTCCGGTTTCTCTTCCATCTGAGCGGCAATTACGCGCTTCCACTGATCTCGAATAGCCGCTAAACGCAAATGATATCGTCGTCGCAAATGTTATCGAACACTACGTGAAGCCCTACCCTCTCCCTCCCCTAAGGTGGGGGGGGGGAAGGGGAGGGGAGGGTACGGCTACACGTAGGGTACGGCTAAGCACCGATCATTGCCAGAGTTTCTTTATCAAAGCCACCTCGAAGTTGGTGACCAAGTTACAGGCCACACGTGCCTGATTGATTCAACATTCCAATAGAATCTCCAAACTTTCATGTCTTAGTTCGCAAATGGAAATTTTAGATTAGGGATTTTGGATGAAAATTTCCAGAGCTATAGCTTTTTGCGACTGCAAAGTTGCAATCCTGTCGAGGACGTTTGTGGGAATTTCTTTAATTTGATTGGGCCCCATTACCAGCTGCTGAGTCCGCAGCGATCACGCTCGAGGTCCTCGAGAGCGCAGCTGTTAATTTAAGCAGATACTAGAAGATGCGAATGCCAAGTCCATGGTATTCATAAATCCTGTCATGAAATTAGTGTAATTTACTCTTTATGCTCCACTTGTCACCACTGTATCGGATCGATCAGGGTTTTAATAACTGGGATGTGAAAATGTATCGATTTTGACAGTTTTGGACGCGGTTTTCGGTTTTGGTCGAATTTTTTTTGGTTTTCAGTTTTGGATGATTGTTCTACGGATTTGCGCGTAAAGCCTTCATGTCATAGTTTCAAGGAATCAAATTATTTTTCTTGAGAAGAAAGGAAGAGCTTTCAATTGTGTTAAATATAACGAATTAGGAAAATGAATAAATGACTCTGGCCCAAATTTGCTATGTTTTGTTTGCTCGTTTGTTATGTTTTGTTTGGTTTTGTTCTTCAATGTAAGAATCCAGCCATCCACAAAAAGGAAAATGAGGAGATAAACAGCACTCAGCTCGGTTCCATCTTCAATCCGCTTCTTTTTGGTACAGTGCTATCATTATAAATAAAAATCGATCTCCGGTCCTCAGCCATTTAACAAGAATGATGGAATATTGACATCCTGGAAAAACTGCCTAGACACAGATTTGATTATGTTCTAGATTTCAGAGACTTATCACAGCTCTATGTTCATGGTTTCATTTTTCAATTGTAAAAGTATTTCTTAGCTGTGAAATACGTACGAGTGACAATGGGACAACGAAGGAGATTTCTATAAATCTTGAATTATTTGCCATACTGACGTGTAACCAACGAACCTGAACACAGCAATGTACCTCTAATGGCAGATGGAAACTTACCATCTTATGCCTGACAAAGCTTTATTGAGTTTAAGGTTCACGTGATCCGCCCTTGTAATGAATTGTTTTGCTTAATGTCTCCATCGGATGGAATCCGATGGAGTTGAACTTCTTCCCTTCGAACGTCTTTTTCAGAAACATTAAATCCACAACTTAATATTAACTTCACTTCATAAGAACTAACCCCCAACAATGTAAGTTCAACCGCCGTAGAAACAAACAGAGAGGGTGTCTATTTACACGGCAAGCTTCTGGCATCGGTAACGCTAAAACCTGGAAATTTTCAAGAACCTACTGAAAACGTCCATGAATCCTTCATTAGCACGATAAATAGCTCTTTTGGCAGAGTCAAAGTCTTCCTTAAAAAAGCACTACATGTACATAGATTCACAACGTTGATTTCATTTGATTGCCCAGAGGTTCTTTTTAAATAATGCTATGATTCATTTTTGTTTCACTAACAAATTTGTACTAATAAGGTTTGATCTCCTGGTGTTTCGCAAATATGATAAGTTCTATTATAAGTTCTCTGATTGCACCAGGTACAACGTATAATCATAGTGGATCAAATATTGGTACTATAAAAAGCAGAATAAAATCATGGCTATAAATTGGCTCAAAGTTGTCAAGATGAAGATTGTTCTGCTAATGGTTTGCACAATCTCACTCATCTATCTATATGGAAATTCACCTTGGAGGGCTAGCCAGGAGAGATTGGGAGAGTGTGGTTGTAAAAACTGAACTGTGAGGTGCATTTAATCATAATTCGCAGTCTATGGGATTCTCTGGAACGATGACTGTGATCTTAAAACAACGACTTGTTAAGCAAAAAAGTTACATAATTTATCTCTTAACTTATTGCGTAATGAATTGCGTTATTTTTCGGCTGCTAGGTCTGTATAAGGTAAAACTATGACCGGGGTCTTGATATTCAGACGCATTTTCAGGACTGAAAATTCAACCGAAATTTCCTATTACCTGCATAATTTACAAACATACTGGTGGTTTGCATCCACTTATTAGTCTTATTATTCAATAAGAATATGTTTTTCCTTGCATGATTAACTTCATTGTTTTTCTTAGTCTTCTACAATATACCGAACAACAATGATACAATACTCTCCAAAACAGCAGCAAAACTGATTCATATTGTCCAGAGAGCACAAGGTAAGTCCTCAAATGATTGTGGAATGCGAAAACGATATGTAAAACTAACGATCTGGTATTATGTCTTATGGAGGACGAAAGATTAGTGGGTTACTGTAATTTATAGTGAGGCCTCACGATTTTTCTCAGAATTATTCTTAGGATTTCTCGATTTTATTTTTAATTTTTTATTTAGTACTTGGTAATGCTTGCGGAAAAGCTTGAACTTTAACTATCGGGTGGCGATTAATAAACGGAAAAAGGGGAAAGAGCATGATGAGATTTAAGTTCTTGAAAGAGAACTCGAACCCATGAAAAACCGGGCCTTGTTAAGTAGTTTGTGGAATTTTCTCTTTTATTTTTTCGTTTAGTAGAACAAACAGCACAAAATTACATTACAAACCGTACTTACAATTGTTGAATTAAAGTAGTTTGGAATTTATCTGGCTTTTGGTCCAGAGAAGTGATTCCAATAAGCAAGCCATTGAAGACATCGAAGTCAGAATATTTTGACCTTGGATGAGCCGTTGAGCAATGACGGATAAGAGATGATTCGTACCATATCCTCACTATCCTAATATTGATCTTCACCGTTGTCACTATAATCATGGACTACGACAACATCTATTACAATTACGTCCAAGTCATTGTCACTGACGTAGGGTGATAAACTCTTCGGCTTCACTGTACCTTCAGTGCGACTATTGCTTCGGTAATACATAACCGTTAAAACTACACCACCAGTGCTGCACCGTCGCTATTGCTGAAAATAACATTTTTAACCTTTATCGATTACCTTAGTTACCATCGTTACATAACTATATTCAGCAAACCAGGAGCAGCCATCATCTAACGCGAAACAAAAAGTCTAGAATGATTCGATGCCTGCCAATTTTCGAGAAGAAGAAGAAAAACGGTTCGTGATCGCTTGAAGATAAAAGGTTTGGTCACCGATTTCAATGAAACTTTGTCACTTTAAAAGGTCTTCCCCAAAACTCAAAAAGACAAAGTAGTTTCCGTTTTGGTTTTATCCGGGGGGAGATAGACCACCCCCTCCCCGGTTTTTCTTGGTTTTCACTAAGGAAATCGCCTCAAAATAGGTAAAATGTATGAAGCTCTCACTGCGATGGTATTTAACCAATTACTCTGAAGGTTTGCACACTTATTATTACATTATTAGTTAATGTCTGACGCAAGTACCAGTCAATTTGATTGACGGCTTGTGAATCAACAGAGGCAAATAAACGACTGTGTTTTTAGATTTTTCGATTCATCCAAATATTTGACAACTTTGAGGTCAAATATCTCCCGTTGCCAGAAAACTACAACGCTAATCTTAATTAACCTTTATAATCTATCATTTCATCTCTGAAAACCATCAAAAAAATCTTTGGGCACCACTGGTATCTTTGTCTGGATGCCTTTTAAAATCTGCGACTGTGACAAGTTTCCCTCAACTAAACCTGTCACGCAATTCTGGCTCTAGCCGGTCACTTGACCAAATAAACCCACTTTCTTTAGCTCTTCATACAAGATGATTGATCAAGAAAGTTTTGGGGAAGACCCTTTAGAATGGCAAAGTTTCATTGAAATCGGTGAGATGGCATGTAGCAAGACTGCCCAATGCTCTCGTAGACACACTCTTAATACCTCAGCTTGTGGTAAAGATTTCTTAGTATCGCAAGAAGAATAAAAACTCCATTATTAATTTTTCTTCTATAATTTTTTAACAATTTTTAATTCTCTATCGATCAGTTTGGCTTTGAGTGCTTAACCATATTACCTGTAAGCACTCTTTACCCATTGTCCAATTTCGTGTTCTCGGTATGTTTTCATTTAAAAATTTCCATTGTCTCAAAACTAAAAATGAAAAACTTAAAATGTGATGCCTTGTAACACCACAAAAAATATTTTACGACGCTCTAAGCTTATGAATTGATGAAATTGAAATATGGTTTAAGATCGAACATTGTTGCAATATTTGAGCTTCATACAGTTTCTCTTTCCTCCTTTTTATGCAATGAAACTGAACAGAAAACCGATGTTCAGGAAAAAAGAAGTTGCTCTAGTCGAAAGTGAAAAGGGAGTACTTAACAATGAGAACTTCTGAAAGAGTGTTAAATTTGACTAGCAAACAACATTTTAGCGAGATCCACACCCAAATATGCTACGCAGATCTTTTTTTGGTTGTCATGCAGTGTTTCTCTTTTTCCATCATAGCCGGGGTAAAGATAGGATTAGAGTGATTCAGGAAGGTTTGGAGTGAATTCGAGTTGATAGGATTTGATTAGGGCGAATTGGCAAGGATAAGAGTAGACTGAGGTGAATCGGGATGCGGACATCTGTTTCAGAATTCACCATAGCTGTCTGTACATAAAAGGCAGTTTGGTTCCAAAGTTTTTTATTTTTTAATGATCTCTCGTTATCATTTCAAAGTCTTGTTGCTAAGGAATCACATATATGCCAAAGAGGAAGACACTTCTTCACAAGTCTCTCATTAATCAGGGGTATTAATTTATCTACCTGACTCTGAACAGCCTGTTCTCATCGACATTCTCTTCGTAATGTAGATAGTTCTTAGGTCGCAGGTGGTCGACATTCCTCTTCCCCAGGGAACAAATTTACTTTGGCATCTGGTGGTGTCGTCAAGAACTCCTCTAGTTCGCGCACGCTCATTTCTGTTTGATGAACATTCGATCTTTTGTCTTGATTGTTGCTCATCATTGCAAAAGATTCTGCTCTTTTCTTCTCCTCACCTGGTACTTGCCATATACAGCAAACAGCTGTCCACAGAGAACGAGGGGTTACAAGTGTTATTGTACCTTGCACAAACGTATCCGTCGGAAAGGGCTTAGGAAGTACATTTGTAGAATCCTTAACAGCTATCCCCGCCGGACTAGTGACAAGGCCATTTTCTGATCTGCCAGTCAAAAGGTAGAGGGTTCCATCTTTCTTGCCACAATTGTCCTTTGCATAATTTTCCACTTTTGTCTCAAACTTCGTCAAATAAAAGTTCGACGCTGCAAACTGAGGTACTACATTGGTAAATGTGTAGGTAGCGTCCATGAATTTTTCGTTAAAGGAATTTATCGCTGAGGGATTCAAATGGCCTTTGGTTAATTCTTGGTTTGGACGTGATCCTCTAAGACGTTCTCGGTTTTTTTCGATTGCTTCCTTATAAGCAATTTTGAGATTAGGAACACCTGTGAATATAGATGTTATAGAACGATAAACAAAAAGATTATGATATTTTTTTGGTATCAAAGAAGTGTTGTACACTAATCTTAAAACTGTATCCCCTCCTCTTGTATAACCGTGAGGGTATGAAGTCAAACTTGGTGTTCCGTTAGGCAGGAAATATATTAGAGATCACCCACTAGTTGGCCCCACAGACCTGAAATAGGTGAGGTCGGCACTCGGTGATGGACAGTTCTCATTTTCAGAATATCATTAACGCTTGATTGCTTGGCTTGTCCTGCCGGAAAGGCACAGGATGTATACGTGCTCTGCAAAGCCTGTCAGTTTAGCGAGGAGGGGAAAGGGGTTACTGCGTGATACGGGATGAGTGTTTTTAATTTTCATGACCAGTTAAAATGCGAAATTGAAACCCCGTAAAATGTGAATATTTTGCTTTTCACTATACTGGAACCCTACAGTTGTTTCTCCTTTATTTCGTGATGCGTTGTTTACACTTTCTACTAATTCTACCCCCTCTATAGCTGATCGAAAACTAATCGTAAATTAAGGAAGACTCGACTTTAAATGATAAATTACGCAGTCTTTTCAGCTTTGGTTAACTAATGCCTCCAATGCTAGAGAGTTAAAGCGGTGATTTCCCATGTTTGACGAGCTGTATTGTTTGTTACTTTTTGAAAAAAAAAAAAAAATGGGGTAGAAGAGGGGCATCAGTCTATAAAATACATTCTAAAATGTACGCTCATGATACGGTCCCCGTACGACAACGTGCAGTTTGATCTTGATTAATCTGTGAAACTCTGAGGACATACGTGAGTTGGTTCGATTATAATGTACTGGTGTTCACCATTCAAAATTTAGTCGATGTTCAATGACTATCTGTAACCTGGGGGCTTCTCCACGTCATTCCACCCAGCCTTTCTTCCTTACTAAGGTCCCTTGCCCTAACAGGTGTTACTATGTGGACTGAGTCAACCTGCAATTAATGTTTAATGATTATCTCCAAACCTCTCTCCACACCGCCTTCTCTCCAGCGTATTCTACCCGGCCTTCTTCCTTTCCCAATGTCCTTTGACTGAGCAGGTGTAACTTTGTAAGCTGAATAAAACGGTGTATTGGTGCTTGGATCAAAGAGAGAAAAAAAATAAGGTGGAGTGCCTGGAGGATCATAAGGCAGCGTCTGCTGGATTTCGATCCCTTGAGAAGTACCAGGTAGCCCTTTTGGAGGACTACCACCAGCAAAGAATGGCGGTTGAACACTTCTTTTCTCTGGAGGAGAAGTCGCAGATCCTTTTAAAAGCAGATATTGGTAGAATCAGACTAGGAACAAAGTTTTAAATACATCTGAATAAATCAGATTTATTTCAGAAACTGATGTTGGATTGATTTCAATTAATATGACGAGTTAATAAAAAGGCTTTTATGAATGTTTATCAGGGGAGTTAACGGCTCAACTTGCTACGTACTTAAGTTTTCTGAACTCAATTTAACAGTACAGAGCTCAGATGATAATGCATCAAACGGCGCTATTATTACACCTGTTAAAGTTTTATACCCCACTGACCCTAGCAAAACATATTTAGGTAAACCGGGTTTAAGTGGATAAAAATCAGAAACAGAGAACTGTAAAACTGAATTCAGTGTTCCGTAGGTTTCAAGAGGTCAATCATAGGTTTAAAACATACAAACATCGGTTTTAAGTATGCAGCTTTTACGAAGAAAACAATTTTAGCGCTATTGACAAAACAGCTTTAAAACCTGTTTAAGCTTTTTTTTGAATGGGGGTATTGGTTTCACCAGGGTTTGCCCCCAAGAATATAAATCTGTGGATCGGTTTGGTGACCAAAGCGTTTGTCATTGTTTCAAAAAATTCAAGGTAGATGCATGTATAGATACTAGTTAGTTCATAAAAAGTTAAGAAAAGAGTAGTTCTCATGATTTATAGGTTAAAACAGGTGCAACTGTGTTGTCGAAATTCCATAATAATTCTAACGCATTCCTTGCATAATTGGCACTTACCAGAAATACTTTTCGAGAATACAGTCTTAGACAGTACAAGGACAGAAAAAAAACACCAAACAGATGTTGTCTTCATTTTGTCCGATGTCTCTGGTTACTTCTTAGTTAATAAACGTAAAGAAAGTGAATGACATAGGATATATTGATTAGTGCTCTTCAAACTCATCAGGTATTTCTGTTTACGCTTGATTAGCTAGAACAGGTCACTTTCATTTTAGTACAGAGTATAATACTCTTCAAACCCATCAGGTATTTGTGTCCACGCTTGATGGGCTAGAACAGGTCACGTTCATTGTGATACAGAGCATAGTACTCTTCAAACCCATCAGGTATTTCTGTTCACGCCCGATCGGCTAGAATTGGTCACGTACACTGTATTACAAAGCATGATGCTCTTAAAAACCATCAGGTATTTGTGTTCGCGCCTGATTGGTTAAAACAGGTCACGTTCACTGTAGTACATGGTATAATACTGTCTAAATCCATCAGGTATTAAAACACTCGTAATTGGATATGCCAAATTGGATAGTTTAGCAGCCAATAAAATATTAAGAGGAATTTTGAGCCATCAGCCAGTAACACTCATTTACCTGGCCAGTGCTTGCAGGCGCGATTGCGCGCGTAACTTGTATACCCCATCGGTGTGCGCCAGTGTAGCGTACTGCGGGAACGCGGCTAAGCATTGCACGAGGTCTCACGTGGGCTGATGAATATGAGGCCGCGTAAGCAAATAATTTGCACCAGTTTGATTTCCCGCTCAAAACGAGGGTCGTGGTTGAAGTTGAACAGTATATCTCAGTATTTTGCAATATCTAATCAAATCGCAAAGCAACAATACCGGCAGAGCTAAAGCGTTGTCAACGGGAGGAAATTGTTATGATTCAAATTTGCCGGCGGAGGGAGGGTTTTGAGTGAAAATAGGATGAAAGGAGATAGACTGAGCGACCAAAAAAGCAAGAAGTAAAAGACGTAGAGCGAGTCGAGAGAAACGGGCAAGAAAGTTAGAGAGGACGCCAAAATAGGCAGAATACGGTGAAAGAAACGCGGTAGAGCTGTCAAGAATGGTGATCATGAGTTGTTGAGTTACCGCCACCCCCTGTCTGATGGACTTGGAAGCACTGGCTGGCAAAAGAAGGTTTGGTCCCATACGTAGGCTGCATCAAGTACACGGACCAAAGCTGTTCGCAATGTTACAAAAATTGGGAGAAACAGTCCAACTCGTTTGCCAATTAGCAGTTCGTCGAGAGAAGCAAGCCTGTTAGGCAACTACTCAAGAAGAATAATCTTCCCACTTTCACGTCGACGAACAAGAAGACTGTTTCAAAAGACAAGATGAATGTGGGAGTTTTGAAGGATGACTGTGCTTTATTTTTACGGCTTTACATAGCTTGTCAAATTCGTGATGGAAACACGGAACATTTCTTCAAGCATGAGAATCAACCATGGCCGCCATCACTTTCGCAGCTTGGTTAGCTTAGAGGACAACGTGTTTGCCCAGCACATCAGCAGAGATCAACTGCGAGAAGGGCTGACTTAATCTGGGATGTCTATCAGGATGATTCACTGAAGAGATCGCTGCGAGAAAAGAGGGGCTCTGGACAAAGGAGCAATATACTAACATCAACAAGAATTCCTGCTGACTGAAAAGGCTTTCTATGAGTGGTTTAATCAAAAATATTTATATTCATTTTATTTAAGGTGGTTTCACTGAAGGTTCCCGCGGGTAAGAGCATCTTCTCTACCTATGACAAGAATATCCTATCGAGTACTGAAAGAACAGAGATGAGCTTACTTGCGCCTTGCACACATGAAGAGGAAGATACTCGCCTTACGGTCGAGGTACTCTATGCAGCCTCAAGCGGACATCGATGAAATAGAATTAGAAACAATGATACCGATGTTGTTGTACTTGCTATTTCAGTGGCTAGCACTCCTCCAACAGATGAACTCTGGATCACCTACGGATCTGGAAAGAAAGTACAAAATATCCTAGCAATATCCCTGGGTCCTGATAAGACCTCGACCCTACCAATTTTCCATGCACCAATTGGGTGTGATACTGTTTCGTCTTTTAGAGGGCGTGGAAAGAAAACGGCTTCGGATGTGTGGAACTTCTGTGTGGAATCTCTTTTCAAAGAGATCTAGAAGCCTAGACAGTATCCCTCCCACTGGATCGTGACTTGAGCAACACGTCAAAAGAGCAGTGTTCCAAGGAGGCTACGTGTGGTGCCAAACCCTTCTTTGTCAGCCAGTGCTTCCAAGCCCATCAGCCTCAACAATGTGGATGCAGAGCCTCATGTAGAGAACCATGCAAGTGCTTAAAGGCTAATTCGGCATGTACTGGTTTGTGCAACTGTGGCGGCAACTTCTAACAGCCATAAATATTTACAAAGTACGGTGTCACTACCTACCAGACTAGATCGACTTAGAATTATGCATTACATCAATCATTTGTTGAATTTTGGTTAGATAGGAGAACATTTTAGGATTTCATCTAAAGCGCCGTTCAGAGAGGTGTAGCTGAACAATTTACTACAAGTATCCCAAATCTGTTAACCAAAGTTTATTTATAATAGCTGGTTAATTTTGCTAAAGTACCGGACGAGAAAGTCAAATCAGCCAAAGACATAAGCTTGATGTTTCTAAGGTAAACAAGTTTCACCAATCGTGATTCAGAAAATAACGTAAACAGATATATTTAACGTTTAACCTCAGGGCACCCAAACATTATGATAAATATCAAAGAGGATATTACCATAATGGCATAAGATGAATACAAATGGATAGGTAATGACTCGGTGGTTATGTTTGAAGGCTTTTGTCGCAAATTTTCCTGAGTAATGTCGTTAAAGAAGATTATTTTATTCTTAGCCTCGTTTCCATGTTAGCGAGTTTCTCACATGCATGGTTCTCGTCACCAGAAGTTAATTTGGACTGACCCTATATCAGAAAATGTTAGTCTTAGGTTCATAAGTGTTGCGGCAAAGTTTCATGCTTTTATCATTAATTTGAACAATTTTGGTCTATAACCGCTTAACTATAACAAATTAAGTATTCCGGCTTTTCATTAATCTTTGCACTACCGAATTTCTCATACATTTCATTGTCACTATCAACTGATAATCGGATTTCCTGTCGTACAATTCAGGTAAGGTTCCCCTATTAGACCATTAATTTTAAAAAATAGATTCGCTGACTTCTTGGAATAACGTCAGTTGCACGCTATTAGCAGGCTTACAAAACGTGGTAACCCAAATCGACCCAGGAGTTTCGCTGTCAACTATGTGGCGGCGGGTATGGATCAGATAAACAAAGTTGTCTCCTATGTCGTTGTTGCTGTCTTAGACGAAATATTTGCCCCAGAAGTCAAAAAGCTTCCTGTGCGAACTGAAAATGACACCTGTTTTGACGTTGGAAGCATGATAGGTGTATTCAGCAAGAGCAAGTTTCAATTTGAAATGAAGCAAAGGATAATTGTCCGAATCGGGTGAGTTATTACTCTTTATATTTGATTGTGTTGAATGCTATTGCATGAGCAAAATTTCCCTAGGTTGTTGTCTTGGGAAGGTCAGAAAAGGCTGACCTGTGGAATAGCTCTCATACAGCCTGGCATTTATCTGAATGAAATTCAGTCTCGTAAAAATACTTGGCTTCTTTACGTGTCACAGATGACATCCAAAATTCTTTCACGTTTGCGCAGAACTTGAGACGATCACATTTAACACAAAGGTAAAAGACCAACTTCACAAATTCATGTTGTATTTTTTCTAGACTTGACAAGCCTTATGCAACAAAAGAGGATTTAATGTCTTCTATCATTTGTTAAAGAATCACTTGTGGTCTGTTTTATGACTTTCATCGATCCATGTGACATACATGTACAGGCAAAACCCTGGTCAAAACATAAACAGAGCCGTTCGACAACATTACGTATATTTTCAAAACAATAAAATGGCTGAAAATTTATCACACAGAGCAAAATGGTTCCCGAATATCACAAATATTTCAGCTCTTCATTCGCAGGTCACTTTTAAATTTTTGGGTTTTTAAGGTTTTTAAATATTTAGGCTGAAACTGAATTTTTTTTCTCCACAAGGCGAGCAGTTGAAACTGATTTTCCCCGCGAAATAGATCAGGAGTAAAACATAATCTAAAGGAGACAAATACGACAGCTGACCCCCGACAACCCTTAGCATTCATATTATTATTATTATTATTATTGTTGTTGTTGTTGTTGTTGGCCGGTTTTTTGGTCATTTGATCATTTCGTTTTGGTCGTTTCGGTGGTTTCCCCTGTTCCGCTTGTGACGTTAGTTTCGATTCGGCTGTTTCGTCTTGCTATTTCGGTTTTAGTACTTGCCAAACTACGCACGTTATGTTATGAATGCATGGCCGAGCGGTACATAAGTATTTTTACCACGGTAGCTCCTTAGGAATTAGGAACACTTTGCGCGTGCGCTGACTATATTTTAGCGATTTTCAAGTGTCAAGAAATGACAATAAACTTGGCCGTAACTTGAACTCGCAAAACGTGCGTTAACTTTTACGGTTGGCATCCTTTTATTGATATAAGTTTGGTCGGCTCTCTATACCATGGTCAAGTGTGCAGTCTGAACACTGCAATTTCTTAATGAATCCCGATAAGTGTCGTGGTAAAATTTCACTTATTACGCTTTCAGTAAAAATTAAAGATAAACATTATAATGTAAATTCTGTTTGGCTAGTCTCATGCTCTAATTCATCCCATCTCTCAGAAAAATCTAATCGCTTGAGAGTTATAAGCGTTTGATGATGCTTTTATAGTAATTTACTTCGCAAATAAAGTTTCACGGCGACATACTTAAATTCCCGAATTCTACAATCATTGTGCCGTCTTTCGTCCTGCAATCTTCTGAAGACTAAAATTGCATATCAAAGTGCAAAGAATTAGAGAACGTACTTTTGACACTTTCAGCTTCAGATATGATTATTCTAAGCCATTATTTATGATCGCCCAAGAATTTATTATGAAGTGATATCAAATTCTATATTCGGGCTACATTCCCTAAGTCGAACGCAGGTGGGTGTCTTTCTCAAGAGTAGTACATTGACCCAGGGAAATTTGTTTCAACTGACTTTCCAGAAATTATTGTTGATTTGACTTTTTGCCGCCCCATTATTCCAATTAGATAATTTGATTTCATCAACTTCGTTGATCGTGTGATCGCCTTCGTATTCGAAGTTTCAGCTTTAAAATGCCTTTAGGGTGTCCAATGCACGTCATCAACTCAGGTTATGGAAAGAAATTATTTTGTAATACCCTCCACCGACACAGCGCCCCAGTTATTTAGGAACTTGTCTCATTTATTCAAACTCGATTTTGATTACAGAGTAGATTTACTGAAGCAAACATGGATACGATTGTTTAATCTAGGTCCTTTTACCCGAATAAAAATGCATGATGGTAAATAGAATCGCTTTTCAAAAAAAATGAATAATAAACTTTTTAGAAAAGTTAATTATTATAACCCGAATTTAAGTTGAACTTGTTCAGGTCATACTGAAAAATGTTTGTATAAATTTGCGTCAATAAATGTAGCGGTCCCTTACCAGGTTTTAGAATCAGCAGCTATTTATCAAGTTCAGATTTGTTGGGAACTAAAGCTGAGGCTCAGAATTACTAGATATTTGGAACTTTCACTACGCTTATTTCTATCCAACTATGATTGTTGTAAACGTAATAAATGGAAGGATTATCTTCTTTCTAAACCCCCCTCTCCGGGGAAATTATTAGATTTGGTCTGAAAAATTTGAAATGCTGATTTGTTTGTTTGTTTGTCTGTTTGTTTTAATTCTGTTGTCACCAAGCATAGCTACATAATGCGAGTAACTAATAGGACCATCCTCTCTTGGTAGAACGAATTTTTCCATTACTAAAGAGATGCTGAGCAAAATATGATCGAGACAAAACAAGAATGAGTATTCCAATAAATTTTAAACCATTGGTAATATGCATAATGATCATGAGAAACTGAACATTTTTTGTGATCTTAGCGGGCATATACGTTATTGCTTGTAGCCTATTATTGACTATTTCACTTTCACATTGTTCTGAGCACATTTGGTATTTCCTGGGAACAAATCTACTTTATGGGATGGTGTCTTCAGAAGCTTCTGTAGGTCAAACACGCTGATTTCTGTCTGGTGCAACATCTTTTTATCATCATTCAATTTCATCTTGGTTACTCATCACCGCAAAGGACGCAACTTTTTGTTTCCATACACAACAGCCCGCTGTCCAAATGGAGCGAGGAGTTCCAAGCTTCACATTGTTTTTAACAAATTTATATCTGCTATAGGTTTCTGGTACTTTATTCAAGAGATCTTGTGTAGGTTTCCCATTTACGGTGATGAGACCATTTTCAGATCTGCCTGTCAAAAGGTACAAGGTCCCTCCTTTAGGGCCTCAAGTGCCCTTAGCGTAATTGGCTATTCTTCTGTCAAACGACTCCCATGGTCCACTGTTTGATGCTTCAAATTGAGGCACAGAATTGGTATGGGTGAGTATGGCCCTCATGTATTTTTTTGTCCAAGGAGTTTATTCTAAGCGGATTTAGATGTCTTCTGCTTAATGCGGGTTGCTCTTTGATTGCTTCCGAGTACGCATTTTTGACATTAGGAACATCTACCAACACAAAGAAGAAAACAAACTGATGTCTTATAATCTGTATAGAATATGACCAGAACGAACTTCGCCGTCATGAAATTTCGGTTTATGTAATCAGGTGGTTTCTGCTGTCCGATTTCCCGGTCAACTGAGTCGCCCAAGCTATTAGGGGGTAACAGATAAGGAGTTTTCTTTTACTCCATTTGCCCTAATTAGTGAGGCACTAACATGCGGAAACTTAGCACGTACTCTATTATCGCCCCACGCACCTTAAAACTCGACAAAAGTTACAAAGGAACATCACTAAGGGGGAGAACCTATTGATGTTTTAGAACTTGTATAACAACGCCAATGTGGGCCATTGTTAAAGATGGAACGTCGAGGTTAACTCAGTCAGCGTAACTACGTTTTAAAAATGACATGAAAGCGAAAGTGAAGTCTGCTTTTTCACTTGCACAAGCGAAAGAAGACATTAAAACCAGAAACAAAGCACACACAAGAAAAAGAAACTAATCAAAACAAAGAAAAGAAAAACGCCTAAGTGGACTCATTTAGTTGTTGCGTATTTTTTATATTGGAAACGTTTCATGCTAACTTTTCGTCTGGAATCTTTGGGCAGAGAACTCTTGAGACATAATTCTCTTTGGGTTGCTTCATTTTTTGCGTCGGACTCGAATTTTGCTCAACCTGATTTTTGTTTTTTTATGAAAAGGCATTTTTCTGAAACATTCAAACAAGTGATGTAATTTTTTAAAGTTATATGGGTATAATGGACTTTTAAGACAGATGATTTGTCTTGAAAACAGAAATAATCCGAACTGAACGGTGCCAGTGGAAAAAATGATGGATTCATTAATTTATCATTGAGCAAATTGGGATGCCTCGCCTTAACTGCGCTCTTTCCGAGATCATAGTGGAAGCAAGCCTCAAAAGTTATGAAACATGACGACGTTTCATTTTTTTACTCTCATTATTTTTGTTCTTCATTGCAAAGTCTACTTTCTTACCATGCGGGTTTCTCCATTTAATGTCTTGCATCTTTCCTCGAGAACGCACCATTTTAATATGAGCATATGAGGGACTTTTCTGAAACTTGACCTGTTTTGGAAACAAACATAATTTTAAATTGAGAGAGCTGGTGGATTCTTTTTCAAACACCAATTTCAGAAGCGGTGATCATGCCAGGTTCTGTTCTGAGTAACAGAACGACTTCTTCGGTTTGCTACACTACACTCTGCCTCCTGCGTGCTCTAAAACAAAGCATTGCACAGTCTAGGTTTCTTAGATTGTGTGCAGTTCTCAGTAACGTGTGAAGTAACTGTTTAATGACTATTCACACGCACCTGGAGGGTTTCTCCAATTTTTAGCTTTGACTAGCCTCTGCTTGACCTTTCCAATATTTTTCGCCTAACTGGGTGTAACCTTGTAGGCTGAATAAAAGGGAGTGTTCATTTCAGGATCAAAGAGGGAAAAAAAAAAAGTTTCTTAAAGATCGTTGGGTAACTTTTGCTGGATTGCCTTTCCTCTAGAAATGTCAGGAGGGCCTGTCGGACCCTTACTGCCAACGAGAAATGGTAGTGTTTTCAACATTCTTTTCCAAATCAAGGAAAGCGTTAGAGTTTTCCTTTCAGCCGGCGGCTTTTCTAAAAACAATCGTATACAAGGTCGGTTAGAAAACGACATACCATCATCAAAACTAGCTAATGTAAGTTGTTGTTCATTGTGGTTTGATCCTACAGTTGTCAACCTTAACAACGACATTAAAAAGTCACATCATTCGCGAAATGAACAGGTAACCAACGAACGCAACTTTCATAACAGATCGAAAATCACCATTACATGGCTCATCAAAACTATAACAAAATTGTCGAACGTGATTGTTTATCGCCAGCCCGATCTGAGCACTAATAGGAAAGTGTACGGGTCATACTTGTAACTGGACAGTTAAAGGGACAGGTAACACATCATGCCCGTGTAAGTAGACACAACGCGTCAAGCACGTGAAAACGTACAACCAATGTCTAATTTCTCTCTGAAATTTTGTCATAGCTTTCATTAATTGGTCGGTCCACTCGGTCCTACTGCCATTATTAACAAGACCGTCTCTGAGTCTAAGTTTTAGTTATTTAGTTATTTCGGAGAAATAACAGGTTATGTGTGTGATCGGTTTCCGCAAACCAGATTTGAAATATTCCACTGGCAGTCACCCATTCTTTTATACTGATGGCGTCGTCCAACGACTTCCCCTTCCTTTCTATTCTGTTGGGGGGACACTACCCAATGGACTGTTACGACTGTCACTCCTGGTCTCCATCTATTCACCGGCTGTAAAACTAATTTAGTAACCTATCATGAATCAAACCTTTTTTCATCATCGATTCTTTGATAGATAGCTCCTAGTGCAGGTTTTCGTGCCATCTTTTTAAAATGGTGTCATGGGAATGCTCAATTTCTTTAGACCATGTTGTGATCATATTTCGACATATAAGGTTTCCATCGCAGCACGACAGTCTATCAGAAACACCCTTAATTTTAACTTTATGTGCCTGTAACTCAAGAAGGAGGTCGGTGATCTCCCTATATTATACATAGCAACCAGCATACCGAGGTGCGTCTTTCTGCAAAGGGTTTAACACAGTCAATACACGTTGCTCAGAACTATATGAAAATCAATTAGTTTAAGTTCTTGCCGAAGTAAAGCATTAATTTTGTACATTTACAAGTGAAAGAGAGATTTTAGTTAGTTTGTTGAAGAGAGATACTTCCGTCGCTATTTTCTTTCAGTTCTAATAGGAAAGAAAGTTGAGATAACAAAGGATCTACTAACAAAAATAACAGAAACTGAAAACAAACAAAATTAATGAGAGAGAGAGAAAACTAACGCTAAACTACTGAGATTGAAGAAAGTTTCTAAACCATCTAGCTAGCCTCTAAAACGAAATAATTTTGCTGTCACAAATATTCCGATATGTATTGAGGTATTGTTTCATGATTACCACTTACCAACATAGATACGTGTTGAAAATACACTCGTATCTATTACTGAGGCGACAAATACAAGACACAAAATAAATATTGCCTTCATTGTGATTTGCTCTTTCAGCCACTGCAGGATCTATATCAAAAAGTAGAAGTGGAGAATTTTTCGTACAGTGTTCATAACAGCTTTAATTTCTTAACGTTAAAACTCAAAAATTTACTCGTGAAATAATCAGATTAAACGCTGTGAATGGAAATCATTAGAAACTCGAGTAAGATTGGCTATTTGCAAACCTTCAAAAATCGAGAAAACATCAACTTTAACTAAGGTGGTGGCTTTAAATTTCCGTCGGTAATTTTAAACTACTCTTTCATTCGATGGTCTCTCACAAAGGACTAAAGAACGTGTTAGTAATTCAAAGCCAATGTCGTTTTAAGTTCTAGTGAAATTTCAAAGTGCTATAAATGACTGGATATTGGCCGAGTTCTTTTTTTACATTCAAATGAAAAAAAAGAACAAGGCTGAAATCTAGCCATTTAGACCAACAAGTTTGGTTAATATAAGATTTATTATATCGCGAAAAGATTTCGCTTTATTTTGAGTCAAAAATAACTTGTACATTTCGAAAGCCGGGCGAGAAAGCCAACTGTGATTGTGGCACAATAAACCCACGAGAGTCGTTTTTTTTTTTTGTTTATTTTGACTGTCTTCTGCCGTTTTTTTGCGTTTATAACACCAACATCGTCCAATAATTACGAACTTTGTTAGTGTTTTTCTTGCGCGGGATCAAAGCGGGCAAGATGAGTCCATCGAATAGCCAATCAGAATACAGGATTTGCTTCATATTTTCTACAGCCACTGCCCGCGATATAATAATTATATTTATTATTCGTGCCTAACTTTGGTTTTGGCTATTGTAATGACGTTTTCAGTTCCTCACAAATTGCAGAGGCTCATTAAACGTTCTCATTTACAAAATTCTCTACCCATTCATAAAAGTAATAAGTCATAGAGCTAATCGAATTTAGCTAGAGGCGTTTGGATCAGTGTTTCGGCAGTGGGATCAAACCGATCACCTTTCTGTACCAGAATTCTCTTCATTAACAAATCGGACACCCACTTTTCGGTCGTCCGATGTTATTAATCTCTAGTATAATTACAGGCCGAATTAAACTCCACTCGGTCCTATTACCATTATAAATACCTGACCTATGAGAACGTTCTAGAAAATCTCATGGTATGCATGTCAGCGTGACTAGGTATTCTAGAAATTTGTAAAAACCTTATTTTTATAGTCATTAACCAGAGCAAAATTAAGAAATCATTGAGATCGAGTCGATTCATTTCCTGTTATCCGTTTTTAGGAGCTTTTTGTAAAGAATTCGCCTTGTTTAGACGGAGAGCCAAAAAGCAGCTTTTAACTCAAAGGTAGCAAGGTGCTACAAATAAACCGCCGAATTTTAAAGACACCGATCATTATGACACAAAGACTGAAGACTTAATTGGTGGGCCTGTTTGTTAAGCTGTAAAAGTCCGGTGAGAATCGCAGAATTTCGTTAGAGGAAGTGATGTGCTCACATTGACTGAACTTGAAAGACATACGCTGCTACCCTCCTGTAACCGAGTTTCTCGAGACACATTTTTCTCTGTCCCTTCGAAGTTGGTGAACTTTTCCAGCAGATCATGTTCTGATTTCCTGTTATCTGTATTTCCCAGAAAATTGGGGTTTATTGGAATTTTTGTAACATGAAACGTCTTTCGTAGCAATGGTCTTTCACCATATATCGATTTATCGTTTACTACACTCCCTAACCCTGAAAATAGAGTAGAATTAATTGAAAAGACTTGGAAATCATCGGTTAACTGAAATGTGGAACTGCTCTGTCATTGTGCGGTACGGTTCTAAAACTTCGAGTATATTTTTATTCAAAACTGTCAACTCGACTGATTGGTTACCGCAATTGCAATATTTGGAAGATTCTTATCACTCTTAAACTCAATCCAATTTTAAACAAAGTTAAACAGAGGTCAGCTTCAAGATTTCGATCAACATCATCATTATTTTGAAGTGTTTCAAAAGAAGCCACAGTATCAGCCTTTGAACAATAGTTAGGAGCTACCAAGTTTAGCGAGATATTGTCCTTGAGAATAGAAAAAATAATTAACTACTTCTAGAAGAATCAAGATGAAATTTAGCATCAAGTTAACTCCATCGATATTGTCGTGATAATAAGTCAGATTAATTCCTGGTCACTTACCAATTACAGATGTGCCAAAGAGAAGCCACAATGATGAGCTCAACTTGTTAGCTCCCAAATGTGGTTCAAAAGCTGATAGAGCGTTTTAAGACCATGGTCCATTAAAAGGTCTTCTTGCAAGAGATACAAAATTTTCCACCTTCTTAAAAGCTTTCATTTGAGAAAATTAGTGAAATTAATCAGCTAGATTTACAACTCGTAGCTTAAAAAAAACGCCTCCCAAATACAACTTTTTAAAGAATTTGGACGGGTAATTCTCTCTTCTGTCTAACATACAATTCTTAAGATGTAATGGGCTAATCTTAAAATGAAAGAGAACTGCTTTAACCCTTTAACTCCTATGAGTGACCGAGATGGAATTTCTTCTTACAATGTCAATAAAATATCAAGCAGGCAAGTAATGAGAATAAAGAAAAATATTCATTTGGGGATTATTAGTTGATCCAATACCAAATTATCCGAACTAATATCATCAGAATTTTATAGTAAGGAGAATTATTGATGAGATCTTGGGGGCGAAAGGGTTAAGTAACCTGGAAATAGCCTGAGATTACAGTTTTGTATTGCTTTTAATTTTTAAATATGAATGAAGTTGAATTTGCGGAAAATTTCAACTCGTGTTTATTTTGAGTGTATTTTTATTCCTCGGTGTTCACTCGTCATTGTAATTTTGGCCGTATATTACGTTACTCAATTCAAACGGATGGCCATTTAACAGATCAGATCTAGCTAGTAGAGTTGTAAAAACGGTTGAGGATCACACCATCTCGTTGGCAAAAGGAATTTACTCAATTAAAGTGAATTTAAAAAATCCATGCTACTTTTTTGTAACCGTGTTGTTTGAGGGGAGTTTTTGCACCCTAGAACCTAAAGTGTGTGAAACGTTTCAGCAGATCTTGTTTTGATTTCCAGTGATCCGCAGTTTTCCCCAAAACTAGGATTTGTTAGAATTTCTGAAATATTGAATATCTTGTGCAACTACGGTTCTTAGCATTTACGTTTTACCGTTTGATACATTTCATTACCAACCCTGAAACTGAAGTCAAATTAATTAACACACTTGGAAACTCACCAGTGGTTGAAACGGCTCTGTCATGAAATGGGCAAACGTTTGTCAGAATTTCTGGAAATCAATCACAACCTCGAGTACCTTTTTTTCATCATCTGCAAACTCTACTGAATGGTTACAATTACTACAGTTTTTAGCAGAATTTTAGCAGAATTAGTATAGAAAACTCCGCCTCTGTCTGGACTTTTGGTAGCCTTTTGACCAATTCCCAGTCGAGACTTAGGTCTGACGGGACGCGTGATTTTTCTCACGGTGGTAAGTAGCCTACTTACCGAGCCAGGCTGTATGAATTTTCCAGACATCTTGAGTACTATCTGTGATACACTCTTGCCAATTCCCCTATCGGCTTTTGGAATCGACTAAACCTTACTATTGCAATAGCCGGACACCTCTTTAGGCACTCTACATCTACTATTGGAACCACAACTCTACCCAACATCTATTTGTGGGGCAAATTGTAAAATAATCGATATCTGTCGGCGTCTCGAAGATGCCAGGAAGCGACAAAATAAGATCAACTCATTTTCTGAATCTGAAAACTTGCAACTCCGCGAGTGACTCGAAATGTCTTTTTTACAACCATACAAGGGAACGAATTGAGATATGCAACTTCGGTCTTCTCGATAACTAAACCCTCAAGTTCCACTAGCAAACGATGTAAATGAACAGCAAATTTCCATGTTAGCATGTAAGATGAGACGCTTACACAACAGATAATTACCTAATTCAGTATGTAGCAAGTCAATCAAATTGACTTTTGTAACCATTCTTTGACTTCAGTCGCCGAACGAATCATTGATGGATCTTAAGTTTTCTGAATGCGGTAGTTCCTGAAGGGTTTTTCTAGATATCAAGCAAAGAGGAAAAAAACCCATCTCTTGGTATTTCCGATTTTTTTAACGACGAAAGGCAAAACAGTTAAGGTGATTAGCAATATAAAGATTTAGCCTAAAAGCGGAGCTCTTGTGAGTTTCTTTTCCAGCCCTTCATTATGATGAAAATTGTAATAAAACTCTTCAGTACTGGCTGTAGAAAAGTTTCTTCGAGGGGATTTAGGGGCAGTCTGAGGGGTGGGGGAAGAATTGACGGGGAATGGAGCCGAGAGACGATG